GGCGAGGGACGTGCTCTGGATGCCACTGCCGCTGGCGAGAGCATGGCCAGGGTCTGTAACACATCACCTGGAAATTAATGAGGCCAAAGCACAGTGTTGGGGTTATTACTGGCTGAGTTTGCCATGTGAATGAAAAGCTTGATGCCCACAGGTTATGGCTTTGGGGAAGAAATCCTGAAAAGCTCTTCGTTCCCCCTGCCCTCTCTTCCCATCATGTCAGCTCCCAATCCCTTGCTCTCCCTTCTCTTCAACCTTGGGATTTTTCCCCTTATGAGAAGTTAGCTCACACCTCGGCCTCAGCAAAGCAAATCCTCAACGCAGCGGCACGTTATCTAAATCCTCTTAGGGACAGTGTAGAGCCAGACACCCCCAGCCCCCTCTGACCCGCTGCCCCCCACAACCCCCCCAGCTCTCGCAGCTCTGCACCGGGGAGCAGCAGCGTTCCTGTCTGTCTGTCCCCTCCGATGCCGCATCCAGGTGGCAGAGCTCCCGCTGACCCCAAATCGCCGCGGTTTGGGTCCTGGCACCCAGCCAGGGTGTTTGTGGTAGTGGAACTTGGTGGACTGTGATAAAACGGGAGGGTTGGCAGGGGTCTTGTGGCCTCTGAAGGACCAAAAACACCTGTCTGCACTGGAAAAGGATATTTCCTTAGGATTTGGTTTGTGTAAAACCCAGCAAAATCCTTGCTATCCAATGCATCTACCCCAGAAAGGGATTTTTCTGCTGTATTTCCAGTGCCACCTGTGGTGTGGGCACGGCCGAGAGGTGGCAGGGGCAGCCCGGGTAAGGGTGGGTGTTGTGCTTCCCCGTGACAGATTAGTGAGAGTCTTCAGTTTGCCTTTTTTTCCTGTTTTCTTTTTGGACGAGGGAAGCTGCATTGCAGAAATTTCAGAAAAGCTGTGCAATCTGAAAACAAGCTGGCAAAGTCCCAGCAGTAACTGGAGCCACTGGGAAACCGGGAGCTGGTGCTGCCGGTAAGGTTGGAGCCACGATATGGGCATTGTGGTCAGTCAGCAGGACTTAAAAATATCTAACTGTGGTTATTGAGGGCTACCTGGATGTCCTCCTCAGCTACTCAGGGTTGTACCTTTCCCAAAAGACACTCACGGGCTAAAACCACGCTGAGGGTTAAGGTGCTGGTGGTGCGACTTGTCCGGGCTGCGGTGGCTGCCCAGAGCCGGCTCTTGCCAGCCACGGCATCGGCGAGGATTTGCTGGGGTTTCCTGTTTTGCCTGCGCACACCGCTGGGCTTGTGCCACCCGAAGCAGCTTTTTTCAGCACTGAAAATTCTTCCCCCCCCCAAGCAAACAAGGAAAACATGTCTTTTTGTTGGTTTGTTTTTTTTTTTTTTGAGAGGAGGAGGGGATTTGGGAGAGCGCGAGCTGCAGGGCAGCGTGTTTTTTGCCCGTCTCCGTGTTTTCTGCCTGTCTCTGGCAGGCTGGAAGTACCAAAGCAAATTCCTCCGGGTTGTCTGGATCTCCCCTTGTTTTTCAAAGACCGGCCCTGGCAACGCGAGGGTAAACCACCGTCCACTCCGTGCTTCCCAGAAATGCCACATGGGTTGGAAATGTGCATCCCATCATCGGCAAAGCTGTTTTCTATCAAACCCCCTCGGCCTATGTTTACAGATATAACTCCCCGAGGGTTCTTTGGCATCGCAGTTGTCAATGCCTGAGCCCGCAAGCAGGAAACCTCGCAGCCCCCGCGCTGGCCGCTGAGCAAGAGGCCGCGGTGGCAGAGGGGCCTCTCTGAGCCCCAAACTGGGGCTCCCCACCTCTGCAGATTGTACCGTTGCTCTGGGAGCAGCCGTCATGCATAAGGAGACTATTTACAAGCGCTTAAAATAATACTGGCGACGCTAAAATACGTGTTGGGCTCATTTGATTTCCTCCCGCGTTGGAAGCTTTAAGGGTAGACTTGGGTCAGTTTTGTAAACTTTTCTCGGTGCCCAGCGAGGGCTGGGACCTTTTCTGGTCTTTAAAGCAAAACTGAGAGGCTTCATAACATCTTAATCTGCAACCACAGGCTTTAGCAAAATGCCAAATAACACAAGACTCCGAATAACGACACAAAAGACGGAAACACCAACAACTAGTCCTCCCTGCTGCAGCTCACACCAAGCCTCTGCAAGTAAATGTGCCCTGGGAGATGTCCTTCATCTTTCCTCTTTACTTGTGGCATATCCAGTCTCCGTCTATCTTCCAAACATTCGTCCCCACATAATCAGGTGAGCATCCCGTAGCTCCCGGGAGCCGGGCGGACTCCCTTGCTCAGCTCGGGGTGCCTTTTTCAGTGGTGTGAGCTGAGCCCAGTTCATTTGAAAACTCCCTTTAATGCTGATGTGAATATAGGTTAATACTCTTTGCTTGATATATGTTGGTAAAGTTATAGTCTTGCAGTTCAGGTTAGGCTAGATTAGATCCAGATGATTGATTTTTTTTTTATTATTTTTTTTCTCCCAATGGGAAGAGGTTCAGTTTGCATGGAGGTAACTAACTGTCCTGATCTAGAGCCTCACGTGAGCACGGTGGATGCTGCAAGTCATCGTGGGCCGCAGGTAGCTGCGGTTAGGGCTGAAACTCCCCCGGTGCTACCTCCTCCAGCTGCGCTGAGGCTGAGCTGCCTGCTTGTAACTCAGGATTCAGAAGGATTTTTCAAAAATGACAAATATGTAGAAGCACTGAAAGCACAGAAAGAAGAGGGACCTGAACCCTGCTGTAGTTCAGCATGGGAGAAGCACTGGCATCAGCGTTTTGGGCATTTTAAGAATATCATGATGGGGAATGCTGTTAAGGCAAACAGTCCCCAGCAGCAGCAATGTAACCAGCAAGTCTCTTTGCGTCAGAACGTCCTTCTAGGTCAGATCTTGGCATCTGTTGCACACAAGGGTAATTGAAGATGTATTTGGAGACCTAACGCAATCCTCACCCAAGCTAAGAGGTGCACCTACATGGACAGAAAAGGCTTATGTTTCAAGAGATGGACTCCAGCAGAAGCTCATCAGGTGGCATGGGAGGGATTTCCATGCTGTTTATTCGGCCAAAGAACTTGGGAAGAGACCAAAACTTAAAACGTGGAAGATTTCTCTTCATACGAATGTCCTGGCCGCTTTCGGTGATGGAGGGGTTGTTCCTGCGGCGCGTGAACCGAGCACGCAGGGCGGCACAGCTGTGGTGCAGCAGCTGGTCCTGGAACTCGGAGGTCATGAAGTAGTAGAGGACCGGATCCAGGCAACAGTTGAGGCTTGCCAGGCAGAGGGAGATGGGGTGGAAGCGGAGCGTGCTCCTGTGAACGGCGCAGTTCTGGATGATGTTCTCTATCACCATCATGAACAGAGGGAAGTTGATGTGGTAGGGGGTGAAGCAGATGAAGAAGACGGCCGCGCACATCAAGACCATGCGCAAAGCCTTCTGCTTCTCACTGGTGTTTTGCAGCTGCGTTGGACACTCCCGCAGGGACTGCCTCATCTTCCAAGTGCAGCAGGCAATGATGCCGAAGGGAATGACAAACCCAAACAGCTCCGCCACCGTCACCAGCGTGATGGAGGCTCCCGGGCTCAGCTGCTTCACGCCCAGGTCTGAGAAGCACGTGTTTGTGCTGTTGGACAAGGCTGGGCTCCTCACTACGAGCAAGGGTAAGCACGCTGCCCCGACGAAGAGCCAGACGGCAGCGCTGATGGCTACGTCGTACCGCCGCTTCCAGTCCTTGGCTTTGAAGGGATGGAGGAGGAAGAGGTACCGCTGGATGCTGATGCAGGTGAGGAAGCAAATGCTGGCGTACATGTTGAGATACTTCAGGTAGAAGCACACCTGGCAAAGAAAATTTCCAAATGGCCAGGTGTGGTTTATGTAGTAATACATCCGTAAGGGCAGTGAGAGGACATGGGCCAGGTCGGCCACGGCCAGGTTGATCATGAAGATGATGGCTTTGCTCTTCTTGCTGATGAAGCGGCACAAGACCCACAGGGGAGCGCTGTTTGCCAGGAGGCCGGGGATGAATATGAGGGTGTACGTGGTCGCGTACAGGGTGGACTGGAAGGACATCTGGGGATCAGTACAGTTCCCGGAGGACGCATTGCTCTCCATCTCGGCTGAGTCTCCTTGCTCATGGGGTGATTAAGGCGGGTGGAGGGCTTCTGCGGGGAGTAAAAACAGATGCTGTAAAGCCAAAAACTCTCCAGTATTTCCCCACGTGGTGTAAGTGCATGTCAGTACAGAAGAATAAGAACTTGTGTGTAGGTATGCGCAGGTGTACGTGCAAGAGCCGGGGCAGTGTGCGTGTGTTGGGAAGGGTGCAGAGCCAGACCCCGCTTACAGGCAGCGATGTCCGGGCATCTTCCAGGCAGCTCCTTTCGGACGTGTTCTGCAGGATTTCGTACCCTGCCACCCCCCTAAGGCGATACCACAATTACAGCGACATTGCAATTGAGCTCTGTAACATTAATCTCTTTATTGCTAATACCAGAGAGCTTTTTCAGCTCCCTGGGGTTTTTCAGGACCACTTTTATTGCGTATAGTTTTCTGTCAAACTCCTGTCAAATTGGTGTTCTCTGATAAGTCTACAAGCAGTTTGAGTGGGACTGTAAATAAATAGGGACTTTAAATGGCTCTAGGCACTGTCTTTTCAGATCCATGGAGAGATCTGATGTGAATTGGCAGCGAGGGTAATAATTAGCATCAGCAAACGATGGTGCTGGCAGGCAGCTGACCGGAGCAGAGGCCAGTGGGAGAGGTGCAGACAGATCTATCAGAGCTCTGGCTCCAGATTTAAGGCTGGATTTATAAGCTAATAGCTGGCCGAACACATGCCAGTTGCTCTGCTGGTCCTGCTAACTCAATTCCGGCACTCAGGGCACATTGTGCAGGCATTGTGTTGTAGCAACAGAAATTATCTCCCTTCATGTCCTGAACGGTTGCTGGTGGATAAATACATCTGCCTTTTAGTTAGAGTAGAATCAATGAATCATTATGGTTGGAAGAGACCTCAAAGATCATCAAGTCCAACCGTATACCCGATGTCACCATGCCCGCTAAACCCACTAAACCATGTCTTGAAGCGCCACATCTAGAGTAGAAATTCTTTTCAGCTATTTAGCCAGCCAGGGCTGAGGCTATTAGTGGGTCACGGGGAGTTCACAGGTACTCGCGCAGATCTCCGGAGAGGTGATGGATTTTGCCATTCGTGAGCAAAGCCCGCAGGGAAACAGTCTGCTCTTTTGGGAAGAGGCAATTCAGCAGCAGCAGGTTACAAACCAAGGGCCTGCAGCATCGTCTGCAGCAAAACGGTGCGGTTTTCCCCTTGGAAGCGGAGCCTGCAGCTGGCTGCAAGGTATCAGGCAGCCTGCCCTTCCCTTCCAGGAGACCAGAGCCTGCTCTGCCAGAGCCCTGAGCACCTCTTGTCATTGCCACCAAGCCCCTCAA